GCAACTGAAATATTTATTTATTATTTTTATTATATTTTGGGGGGGTGGTCCGTAGAGGGACCATCCAAAACAAGTTGTACAGTCCTCTTTGAAAGAAGAGCTGTATTCCCATCACTTTAAGGCAAACCATTAGATTTTGCATGGCACAAGACTAGATGAAAACAAAAAAAAGCCAAGCAAAGAGTGCACAATTCTTTAAAATATCAATTTTTAATAGGTAGAACCTACACAGCAACGGTGAGTAACACCATGTATCACTGAGTGGTGCTTCAAGTCAGCGTTTTGTGAGAAAATGGACGGCAAACCTACACAATTCAAAAGCTACTCTTTAACAAGACATTTATAAGTTTAATTATTCTGTTTTAATAGTTCCTATGAAAACCCTGTGATGTCAGGGCAAGAAATTCAACCTCACTTTTAAATCTCATGAATCTCCAAAAGAAGTTGTCCAACAACACACCATTTAAATTGCACACACATTTTAAAAGTACTAAATGAAATCAATCAATCGTGTTGGTTTTGACTCAGGATCCTAACTTGACAATCCTACAGTGCAACCTCGTTAAACTGGTCACCAACGGCCCACACAAGTTTGGCTGTATTAACAGAGTGGCCGTATTAAAGGGTTCTTTAAATACGAAAATGACTGACTTAGCTTTGTTCCGGCCAGAATAAAGTGACTGTAATAACAAGAAAGCTATATTAACAGGGGGCTGTAGGGTGGTGTTACATTGCACTTTTTGGGTCCAATTCCCTTCAAAATGGCTGTACAGTACTGTAACACATTAGAAGGGTGAAAACTGGGTAAATGCTAAACATCACACTGACATCACAGGGATTCATGGGAAACTGCATTAAAGGCTTCCAGCCATGGTCTCAATCTCAGCGCTCAGTTTCTGCCTCTTGGTCTTGTTGTTGCCCTCGCCCTCCACATATGCTTGCTTGCTCAGGCGACCATTCACCACTTTCTCAGCCATTACGATGGCTGCATCCAACAACTGCTTCTTCTCGTGTTCTTTACGCTGCAACTCTGTGAGCTGTAACAGTAAAAAACAAAACACCATCAACATGCGACATAATTAATAGTCAAGTTAAAATGAAGATTTGTAATACAGACTAGCATCTCATCCAGGGGGGAGTAGAAATACTCCTGGTCGCTTCATGCTACAGAAACCAGGATACGCTCTGGCCTGGTGGGCCAGTTGGCTGGTATGCAGACTTTACCTACACCTACATGTACCTACATGTGGTCGTTATAGTATACTCACCTTCTCAGCAGCCTCAGGTTGCTCCTTGTTAAGGGAGTTCTGCACCTGAGTGATTTGATTACTGATGGAGCGATAATCTCCATCCAGCTTCTTGCGTGCATTAGCAAATGCTGTAGCATCTTTGCTTGATTTGTACTTGTGAATGGCATCAGAATACACAGAGTACAGGCCACTCTGACGGTCCAACAGACGCTGAACCTCTTCGATCAGACAAGCAGCACGCATGCGCGATTCACTGGCTTCATCCTGAAATGTAAGGAGAACTATTAACTCTGATTCCCTGCAGCCTTTATTTAATCAGAATTGAGGAGTGCTGTCTCTTCTTACTCCTTAGGTTTTAAATCATTCTGTGATTAGTTGATTATGATTACAATCACTTCACATTGCTTGCTGTTACCACATACATGTATGCATGGTTTCCAATACAATATTGCTTTAAATATGGGGGTAGGATGCACATACACAGCAAATTGAAAAATGTGCAATTTGTAGTTTTGTCGATGGTTCATAAACATTCCATTGATGAATCATGGTTGAATTTTCCATTGCCCAAATCTTACAGTACTTTCGAGTTTCTAAGCTACACCATTGTAGCTTTTATATTAAATTGTTAATGCCTGATGTATTTACCATGTTTTTAAATTAAGATGATGATGATGATGTCCTATAGTAGCAGGGGCAGATTTAGGGGGTGGGGGCATTGGGCAGCTACCCATCCCCCTCTTGGTGAAGCAAAAAATGAAAAATAATGAAAAATATTGTGAATATTTTGGCAGAAATAACGGCAAACGGTTCCTCATTGTAATTCTAGTTTGAAGCATTGTTAGTATTTCAGTTTTAAGTAAGGTTTCAATTCTCAAATTGCAACATTTTATGGGCATGCTCCATTGATTCTGCAACTCTAAGGTACTGGCCAACCCCTTCCCCCCCCCAGTTGAAAATCCTGGATCTGCCAGGCCTAAGTAGGTTGTCTTCTTACCTTGCTGATAGCAAAGTCAAGCCTCATGTAAATGACAACAAGCATGAAGAGCAAGTAGAATGCACCAACAACAAGCAGAGGCTCTTGTAACAGAAGAACCTTGTTGAACGAGTAGTGCAGCTGTTGAAAAAGCAAGGTTGAAACACTTGATAAGAATCCACTGCTTAAAATAAAGAACTGCTCAGACAATTTGGCATTCAGAGATCTAGACAGGACTTACAATTAAAACAATAATAATCATATTCTTAATTTAAAAGTTTAAACATTTAGGAAATTATGACCGTGACAGCATTTGGATGTCAGATCTTAATAACCATACATTTTTTTCAATTTTATTTTGAACTCTGTTTTCTTTTTAGTTTGGCTTCGATTGAGAAGATATAATACTTTTTACCCAGCACACAGCTTTACATAGGGCTGTACAGTCTTCAGGATTTGTTGTAATCTTAAGGTAAAAGTTCAAAATAGAACAAAAATATTATACATGTTGTTAAACCAATCAAAGATTCACACAGATCTCTGTAGAGATACCACATCTATATCTGGTATTTTTCAGGTTGAATCACAGACTTTACTCCAGCAGGCAAAAAAACTAAGTGCACAAAGAAAGGCAATATGTTCACTCAAACAGAGTATAATAATAATAATTATACAACCAAACAATCCCAGTGGGTCAATATATCTTATTTCTAAGATGGTCTCATTTTCTGCCTTTTTTTATGGTACATACAATGTATATGTACCTCAAAATCTTGTATGTGTTGTTCCACCAAGTTAGTTTTGTGTGCAACCACCACAGGTCGGCCAACTGTGTCCAAGTACGTGAAATGTAGTTCACGGTTGCCCTCCTCCATATTGAATGGTGCCTTCAGTTGAATGTTACTACAAAAAAAAAAAAAAAGAACAATTTCATTTCGTATGCTCAATAATGAAAAATAAAATAGGGGGCTATTGGATTAAGTTTTACATGTAATCTGCTGAGTGAAATGTACACTGTACAGACTACTAAGTGTAACAGCAAAAAGAAATTGAACTTTTCAATTATTTAATTTATCATTTTTTTACCGCAAAAAATTATTTTGATCAGGAAAAACCTCATTTGCATTAATTTTATTTTCAACAATTTCATATACATGCGCAATTTGGTTCATCTAAGACCTTATCAGTTGACTGCCATACAATATTTCGATAAACACACACTTCATGCACAAAAACTAAACCCTCATTACCAGGTCCCAAATTACATCCTCAAATTTCTTAAGGAAATTTACAAGTTGAATGTGCAAAAAAAAACAAAAACAAAATGTAGCTATAAAACATTCTCAACTTGGGGAACTAGCAAATGAAGCTATATATACCAGTAAAATCAAATTAGCTATGAGACTTTTAAAATAGTATAGGTACGTACAAATGAAGCTTGTCATTTAATTTTTGCCATTGGGCAAAACTTACGTGCATCCTTCGGGAAGAATAATCCTCATACTCAGATCATCTACAACAAAATCGTCATATATGTGATCTATCACTCGCATCTTGAGGATGTATCTGTTTCCTAAAAAGTAAAAGAAATTAAATACATGTAGCTCTATCAATATCATCACCAGCACCATCCTTTGCTTAAAACTAAATCATATGTTTTAAGCTGTGCATAGTTGTACATGTAGCTACTTAATAATACATGTAGCTCTAAAATTTAAATCAATCAATCAATCAAAAAAAAAAAAAGCGAACTACCAATAGGAGAGAAAAATTCATTCAATCTGTAGAGTGCAAGAATGCAATTTGAGCACCTGTCAACTTCAACCAATACACTCAAATCACATTTTACAGATACATGTATGATTTTAAAACTGCTCAGTGATGGTACGGGTCCTAATTTCGCCTGGTAGCTTATTTCACAACTTTGGTCCCAGGTACAGATGAATTTTCAAATAAATGTTGTATGTAAATGTAAAAGTTTGATTATCAAGCAAATAGCCACTCACCAAGGTTGTACAAGTACTCATAGCTAGGAACATTGTAGCCCATGTAGAACCTAGTTTGCCATCCACCAAACAATGGAAACCTTGGCCGCAGCTCCAACTCCACCGAATCCTCTTGAGACCACAGATTACTGGTTGAGATGTTGCCAATTTCATCCCGATAGTACACGTCACTGGCAGCAGCTGGCAGGACTGCCTTGAAAGACTTGATGGAAGAAGGAGCCGCTGTACGTTGATAATCATATCTTGAGAATGCACCCTGGAGGGAAGACATAAGAGGTTGGAGTAGACCCGAAAATCAAGGACCGCAGAATTGCGTAATAAAGAAAATCAATAATTATGGTACATGTACATGTACATCTATCTTTGTTGATGTATTGCAATATTCTCCTAGCACCCCAGTGTTTTCTCTTAGGAGAATTCACGTACAGATCAAATTTGGGATGAAAATGGTCACCTGGAGTTCAGCTCCCACATGTTTCATGTGATAGGTCTCTTCAACTGCAATGTTGCCCCAGTGGGAAACTTCTATGGTCCTTTTCATGCCAAGAACCTGAATTTGAAAATACAAATGTGTCAATTTTGGAAAACTGGTTGAGTTTGTGTGAATACAAGTACAGTGCATACCACATAAGGAAATTCCCTGACCAGTATACATGTGGTATGAAACACTACACAAAATAAGCAAAAATAAAAATCCTACCCCTCTTGGCATAAATCAAGAGATTCGGAGCAACACAGGTATCTGGCATTAATTGTAATCCTATAATAATAATTGTTAAATTATTGAGCTTATTTGTACATGTACACAGGGCTGTCATTAAGTTTGGAGTCGCCAGTACCCTTGTTCTCCACACCTGTAGGAAACTTGTTACTTTGTGGGTGAATTCTTTCAACAACAGGCAATCTCACCCATAGCATCAAGGGGATATCAAGCATGCTCAGCCGTAACAGATGTTACGGGTTTCGGCCCTTAACAACAGCCCCGGTACATATTGGAAATAAAGAAATCTTTCGACTTGCACGTAGTTGTTTCTCACACAATGCAAAATCAAACATACAATTTGTACATATATGCATGCGCAAATGTATTTTACCCAAGCTATGTGTTAATGATCAGTACACTTACCGAGAGGAAAGGAGTGTTGTTTTCAAAGTGCACCCTCATAGGGTTCACCTGGAACGTCTCGACATCACTGTAGGGTCCGTACGCAATAGAATTATCAGAGAGGCTGGTGGGTTTAAGCTTGCTGTGAGACTCCACGGAGGATGTTGCCAAGGACACTGTGGTAGTTTGCTTTTTCACATTGTACGGTGTGTAATAGTAGTGGTTGCACGAAAAGAGGACAAACTGTTTTTCTGACTGTGTGATTTTGGTAGGGAATGGACTCATTGCATGGACAAAAACCTCCTCCACAGTTAGGTCGACAGTATCTCCTGGTTTTAGACGGAATCCTAGGTCTACTTTGAAGAACTTTGTCTCACTAAAACATAAATAAAAAATAAAATGACAAAAGGCTTTACGGCAGTAGAAAATCAGTTATCAATTTATCAAACAGTTTTCCAATAACGATTTTTATCCATTGAACATGTCAGAAACTTAGCTAACACTTGTTAAACAGTATTGATCTTTTAGTTGTAAATGCCACCATATAAGAAATAAATTGCTGTCGATTGTTGTGTTCTTCAAGGAATGAAATTTATGATTTTATACATGTGCATATGTATTCAGTTACACAGAACAAGTAAACGTGATAATAGAAAATTATTTCACTACTTAGCATTCTACAACTCAAAACGTATAAAAGGGCTTGGGACGAGAGAAACGCAAAGTACACGAATAACGTATCGAATTATTTTAATGTTCACAAGTCACGCAACTCACTATGTAGGTTCAGATTCCCCTATTCATTCATGAACAGGCTTTATCGTTTGTTGTTAATGGCCATTCATAAACATTTACATTTTTACCTGTGTGTACTAAACTCTACTTGTTTTAATGTTAAACTTGAATCTTCGTCTTCAGGTGTCTTTGCCTGAAAAGGGTTGAAAAACAAACCGTAAGTTTAACAGATAGAATACTTGTACGTGGCATGAAACGACATCGTACTTCAATTTGCAGACAAAAGATTATTGAAAATGATCACGCATGGGCATTCTCTATCGATCGGTACGGTATTAAAAAAAATCTTCAAATGAAAACTCACCGTGACTCCAACAAATGCGAGTTTGTCCACTAGAGATGGTTCGATAGCAAGATGAAAATACCCTACAGATGAATCGCCTGCATTTTCGAGCGTCACGGAAGTGCTGACTTTAGCCAGCTGGGTTGAAAGGTCTATCTTTCGAGAAACCTCGTTAATAACCAGCTTAGAGTTGAAATCATCTTTTCCTAGGATGCAAGATGCAAGGAGCAAAGCAGCAACTGCCGCTAGGCGAAGAGAAAAACGATTCATCCTTGGATGGAAGAGGATTCTCAAGGATGGCTACGTGGAACCGCGACAGTGGGTTCAAAGGAAAGAGGAGAACGATTGAGCCGAATTTCAGCTTCATCGGCACAGCGGACTCCATTTGAAACAATGTTGCCACGTCATGTATGGGGACATATAAATTCACAACAGGAGGGAGTTTCAGATGGATTTGAAATTCTGTCGAAGACTCTGACAAATGACAAATATCCCTGGTTTTTTCTTCTTAAAGGTCCCATAAAATTTCAAATCTTACCGAATATCATCTTTTGAAGGAGGGAAGGGAAACACTGCAAGCAAATAAAATAATAAACAAATCAAACATTGCCACAAGACGTCATATTTTTTTCTGCCCGTAAGAAAGAAAAGGCTTTAACTTTTATTGTAGCTTTTCAAAGAAAAAACAGAAATAGGTTTCAGATTTTTGGATAGAGTTTCATACAAACTTTTATGATACTCTTATGTACGCCTGTTAGAAAACCTGTCACATTAAACAAAATTAAATATCAACTTCTGCAGAAAAATTGACCGAAAACAGAAACAATTTCATCTTTGTTTCAAAACCTTTTTAGACCACCTTTTCGCAATTCAATCTCTCTGGTGAGCTTTTAAGCCTTCCTGCCCCTCCCCAAAATAAAATCTACGTTTTTCCATCCCTGATTTCCCTTCGAATTGGTAGGTGTTGGCACGTCCCTTTCGAGCGCAAAAAGAACTGGAGTACTAAAAGAAAAGTCTATTTTCATATGTCATATGGTTCAAAGAAAGGCAGTGCATTCAAATTCAGCAAATTTAGCTACAGCGTTCCTGCTGTCTGTAGAATAGGGCAGAGATGAACACACTGATGAACAAGGGACGGAGAAAGAAGCGCGAAAGGAAGGCAGAAGGTGGAACGCGGGCCGGGAGAGACGGAAATCACTTAACTCAGTTTTGATTTTAGAGACATAGTCAGGTGACCTAAATCGTTCTTGTTTGCCGTAAAAATAATTGATCTGCCACGAACTTTCTATATGAACACACGGTCTATCTGTCTCGGTCGTTAAAGATTATCCCTTGTTGATTCCCGTAGACAACCCTTAGACAAGAACTTCCCTTTATTACAAACGCCTTGTTTTATTATTCGCCAGCATTTTGTTTTTAATAAACTCAGAACCTCCTAACTTCGCGATCGATAACTGAAGATTTCTTCCAAGGGAAAAAGCCAATCGGATTCTTTCTGTGTCTCCACGTGACATCTTGTGCGTTTTTGCGCAAATTTCGACGGAAATTTATTTTTATCACCAGAACTGACGTGATTCACTTCAATATTTATTGGACTTTTGTTTAAAAAAAATCAAAACTCGACCCTAAAACGACGTCAGATCAAAAGGAACGAAATATCCTTATAATGAAGTTAGATTCTCACTTATAAAATCTACTGCTTAAGTTTTGGTTCACGGAACAACAGCACAAAATGTCCCACCACTGACATGACTGCAGTGTGGAGTTGGTCTCTTTGACTAACTGACGGTGACCTGCTGAAAACCAATAAGGTATGTTTTGACTAATTGGATAGTTATGTCTTTATCGATTAGTTTCAAAGAAACCAGCGCATTACTGCTTGAAATAGATACAACATTCGCGCTAGGAGATCATTGTTTTTTCTGTGATTTCAATTTGTATGCTTTGCAACAGCTAGATATCTTTAAGTGTTCTTTCTCAAGCGGATGGGTCAATCTCATGTCAAAAAGTAAAGCGTTGTTCGGTAGATTTGTTGTGAAATATTGTCTACAGTCTATCCGAGTCTCCAGACAATTCTGCTAAACGGTGACAAGAAGAAACGAGAGCACCCAGTCAAATAAACCAAAATAATAATGTCTTTCACTCGATGTCTACCTGAAGTTACTTTAAACAGTCTTGGTACCTGCTACACCACCTGCTTGTATACTGCGGTCCATTCTACCGTGTGGAAACTTTTCTGGGTCAATCATTTGAGTTGGGGCATTTTACGGCTCACAAAATGATTACAAATAAAATCACAGCTTAGTTGTTTAACTCCTAATGTTCCTCTAAACAGCCCCCTTCTTTGTCCCCTCCCCNCCCCCCATCCAATTGCACGAGTGGATTGTGAACCTCATCCAGTGAATGTCATTGTACAACACAACAGTACCAAATGCCAAATTCCATCTCTTGATGGATTGATCTTGAAGGGAAAACCAGCCGTTCTTCGAGCTCCAATAACTACAGACGTCACTTTCACTAGAGAAAATGTTCACGCAAAATATAACAGCGTAAATCAGTTTTTTCTTTTCGGTTATACTTCAATTTGACATTGTTGAAAAACATTAGCCCGCTTTTCGACAAAGTCCCCTGACAAGACCAACAGCAACAACAGCTGCTGTAACCTTTGCAATTCTTAGAGACTACCTCTTATATTCTCATTGTTTTACTGTACAATTTATACATGCTACATATTTTAATTGTATATACATTTTTATTATTATTCCTTATTTGTAAATAATTTTAATTTTTTTTGTTGTTGTTGTGTCCCCAATTAGTTATGAAAACTAAATACATTGACACATTAATAAAGCTTTTACTTTACTTTTACTTTTTTTACGGGCAGTTTCCTTTGGCCTGAGGCAAAAGTTGAATCAGTTATTTAAATACATTGACACATTAATAAAGCTTTTTACTTTACTTTTACTTTTTTTACGGACAGTTTCTTTTGGCCTGAGGCAAAAGTTGAATCAGTTATTCTTTCATTTTAAGAGCCCGTCCGATGCGAATGCCCCTTTAATACGTGCATATTGCTGGACCTAACTCTAAGCGGTCGTATTAAATGGATTCTACTATGGCGTTATATGTGCTTGCAGTAAATTTTCATCTCTATATCCACAGAATCATGGAGCTTGGTCAAACATCACAACCTTGATGACTAATTCGTCCGTGCTGGCTCCAGCTGGGCAGCAATGGCGCCAACTTAGCAAACGACCTTTTTAAACAACTGAACAGTGCGCAATGGGAAAAGTCTCTGCCACCTGCTTTGCGTTTGTAATAACGCTAAACACCTTATTAACACTGAGTCGTGGACGTGACCTTTATAACGACAACCATGAAATATATGCAACAAAGTTGAAAAAAGGTTGGGAAGTGTCACCTCTAAGGAAAAGATTTTTGGGAGTTCATCTGCACTCACAGCAACCTGCACTGAAAAAGTGGACAATCAGTCCGGAAGATCGGACTAAAGAACAACGACAAATTCATAATCAAGCTTCTTTTAGTTCAAATTATAGAGGTTTTAAAATGATTCAAAATAACTTCAGGAGAGACCAGAGCATAGGTAGTTCACTAACGGGAAAGCATCACTTTAGCTTCGTTGACCGAAAGCCGAGACCCCGTAACTCGCTTCATAACCAGGAAATCGAACGTTTTAAGAAAGTGCTTCGAAAACGCATTAAAGTGAAGCCACGTCAAGACATTGAATTCCTCGAGGAAAATCAAGGTACAGGTGCCAAACAAGATGATTTTGAAAGCCCTCGTTACCAGGAGGTCACTGCAACTGACAATTCGGACAACGAAGATCAAAACGGTTTCAGCAACAATTACGTAACCGTCATCGACAACATTGATGGGAAAGACACAGATTCGTACAACACCCTCAGTAGTGATGAAGCCAAAAACGAGTACACCAGTGTGGAAAATAGTATAAGCGAAGGTGCAAACGAAGAATCTCAGTTGCTGGGTAAAGAAGTGAACGATGTTCTTGGTGCACTGACCAGGTCGGATTCCACAATAAACCAGGTTACAGAAGCTAAGTTACCTCAAGCACAAGGTGGGTTACCCTTTAAGCAATCTCCATCGCCGTACAACGATAAAGAGGACGACGTTGACGTCGTGGACGAAGGAAGGAAAGACGGTAAATATAACGATCAAAACGGTCCTCCTGGAGATATCACCGTCATTGAAGACAACGAAGAAGTCGGTCCAAATGAAGATACACGTCCTGTTCTTAGTAAGCCTATATGGGACGCCATCCAACAAGCTGAGAAAAACTTCTCTCGTCAGCAGCAAATGGTCCAGAGCACTGCCGTTGCACAAAGTGGAAAACCTGAAAACAAAACTAAAGCACCAACATATTTGCACTTCCCAGAACGTCTACCAGGGACCAAAAACGTTGCCAATCCTGGCCATACTCTGAGTGATCTAGAAAACACGCTCAAAATTTTTGCTGGTGCAAATACTCAATCAGATTACAATAACACGACGAAGGAACCTGAGCATATTAATAGTAAGGGTGATGGAAAGAAACTGTTTCTGACCGGTAGCGCCGAGGAGGGACTAAACGGAGAACCAGTTGAAAGTAATCAACCGTCGATTCAATCCTCCTCACCTGCCCATCTCGACCACCTTGAAAATGGAAACATTTCCAATGCCAAATTGTACTTGAACAATCAGAATGGCGTGTTTACATCTAAAACAACAAGTAACAGTTCCTTTTCTCACAACAGTCCAAGTAACAAGACCACGTTTGAAACATATCAAGGCAATAGCAACGACTTGAATCTAAAGCCATGGAAGATAGATACTGCGACGAGTAAAGACAATCAGAGCGATGAGGGAGACCAGAATAGAGTCCCATTCCGGCCTATATCAAATGTCCCATTAAAAGGGGGTGGAATGGCAGTAAATAGCGATAGTGTCCAGCCTGGAAGGGTAGAATTAGAAAGGCCAACTAATGAGTTTGTCGACGGTGAAATCGCTCCAAGTGATCCCGAAGCTGGAAAAGATGACCAGTCTAACATGAGTAGCTTGAGCCCAAATTCGTCCAACTTCCCCACTCAAAGAGCTCCTCAAGGCGCAACTGTCAAACAAGATGTAACGATAGTCAACACAGCAGAGGTGCGTCTGGAACCATCTGGAAAGGTCAGTGACAGAAATAAAACGCTTTTGGTCCAGGAAGGCTCTGCCGCTCAAGGGGCGCCACATGCTGAATCAGAATATACATCCGGATCTCAATCGAAGGTACGGCTGGCCCAGGAAAATAGCGCAAACCAATTTAGCGGCTTTCAGCTAAAGCAGAGTAGTTCGACGTTTCCAGGAGAATTGGGTGTCAAGGATGCTTCTCTCTATCAGATACGAAATCCCACAGCTCAAAATCACAATACGAAAATTCGAATGCATTACGATAATAGGCGACCTGATCATGCTAAACCTGCGTATATCGCTGGTCAAGTCAACGAGCAGAATAAAGAGCATGTTAAAGGCGTCAACTATGTGTCTCAACTAGGTGTCCCTTTGCGAGGGGTAAAGGCAGAAAACATTTCTTTGGACAGCTGGTCTGAAGAATATCAAAGTCTGATGGGAAAGCTTAGAGATCTATATGGGCAGGCACACGACAGCACCTCCCTAGGACAAAGTGCTGGCTACAGAAACAGGCCCGCATTTAACGATACCCAGCAGATGATGAAAGAAGTCTCTAGGTTTCATACGTTGTTTGCTGACCGAGACAACAATCTAAAGGGTATTGGTGGCAATGGAATGTTTCTTAAGGACCTAAAAAGTGACGTAAAACCAGGGAATTGGGCAAACACAGGACGCATGAACACAGACTACCTCCCCGACAAGGATCACGCAAACGACAGAAGTATTTCTAGTGGGAAGATTTCTGCTGTGCGTTTCGGGAACAGTAGAGAAGAATTAGGTCAAATTAGAAGTATACTTTTGGGAAACCTAACTGCATTTAGGGCTTCGAACTTAAGCAATTTGCAAAAAGAAATGACTAACATGGATGATCATGATAATATACCTCCTGAGGATGATAACAAAAATGTAAGTTTTGTAAACCAAAGACTGGCTTCTCGACTTCGGAGTAGCGATTCTGTACAACTCGGAGACACTTCAGATTTATTATCTTCTAACAGTGGTGGCCTATCATCTCATCAAGTGCTAATGAGCTACTTTGGGAACGAAACCGATCTTCGCAAACGGCTGCATTCCGATAATAATGACAGTCAAAATGAGTTGCAAGATGCTCGCGCTGTCCTAAAAGGTGAGGCAATTCAACTTGACAACAAAACAAACACAGCTATAGAAGCTGACCGGATCAAGACGGCGCAATTCAATTCGATTCATCTCGCACTGGTTGATGCAAACCAAACCAATTCTGGCCTTCCAAAACAGAGGGGAAATGTTTCTAAAGATGAAAGAGAAGAGTCAGTCACTAAATACTTGCAGGATTTTATTTCAATGGTAAGTTCTGACACTGCTTCGCCATCTGATGTACTAAACGGAACCATAGTAAATTCATCAAGAGGTGAATGGAGTTCAAGAGTACCCGAGACGCCTCCAGACAAAGTCTTTGCGTCCGAAGCTGCCAAAAAGGGAAACGTCACTACTCTAAAGGACAGAGTGATAATAGTGGTATCGCCAAAGTCCATAAGAGACCTTATGAGGAACCGCAGTGGCAATTCTTCACAGCCACTAGTACATAAAGGAATACCCATTATGGTGGGCAACGTAAATAGTTCTACTTCAAAGCTTAACTCCAGTCCAGACAAGACAGTAAAAACTAACGTCCAGGGACAATTTATCAATTCATCTACAAATGGAACCATCCACTACCAGGTCCAACATCAACAGTCCATTAAATTCGCGAATGATTCCTCAAGCAAAGAAAACGTTACATCGAAAAGTGAAAATGAAGATTTGAACATGATCTACAGGGACGAGCTAAAGTCGCTGGAAATATCATTATCCCGCGAATTCATGAGCAGCTGGATTTACTACCAAAGATCGTTGGACGAAATAGGTATCACTCCGAAAATGCTTCGTTCTGGAATAGCCAATCTTGGGTCACCTCAAAGACTGAAAAGGGTCTTCAAAAAGGCTCTAGCTGGTGCTAATCTCAATGTGCTTGTAGTTGGTGGATCCATTTCGGCTGGGGGTGGGCTTGAGAAAGACCGCGGAAATGTCGAAGGCGTTTACCATAAGGCCTTCAGTGACTGGTGGAATAACACAGTGACACCAATAACTACATCAGAGCTCAAGATCACCACTGTTGCTATAGGGGGTACCGACTCTGAGTATTTTTCTTATTGCATCAAAAATTACCTGAGGTCGCTTCCGGACATTGTCATATGGGAGCTCGCGGCCAACGACTACAAGCGATACCAGGGAAGAGATTTTGCACCAGCAAAACCACTTGAGCAGTTGATAAGGATAATACTGGGCCTGAGATCGAATCCAGCGCTGATACTTGCAAACTTCTTCCGGGGCAATTACTACAAGACTGCTATTGATCAAGACTGTCCTGATTCTGAGGATGAAGGTGGAGAGTCCATTGCGCAGTATTACAAATTAACGTCCCTGAGTTGGAGAAACGTGATATGCTCCCAAGAAGATGGCAAAGACTTAGACTTGAAAAAGCTTTTCAGCTCAGACGGTTATCATCCGAGCCTTCTCGGACATGCGCAGATGTCTGCTCTACTGATTTCATATTTCAAAGGCGTCTTCGAGCAAACTATTTCGCAGGAGATGATCTTATTAACAAATCGCACTCTACAAAAGGAAGAAGATGATATTTTGCCTTCCTTGGCAGAACCGATGTTTGACGATCCTGTGACTCCTAAACCATTATGCTGGACTCTTCTGACACCAGATTACGGTCAAAAGCTACGGAATACTCTCCCAGATCTCGAGTTTACCGAGGCAGCAGGTTTCCAGTTCGCAAATATAAGCCACTGGCCCATACGACGCGATCGTTTAAGATGCTTAAAGGCAATCCAAACAGGAGCAATGCTGAAAATGAGGTTTGTCGTTCCATCTTCAGAAAATAAAGATGACAACAGTGGCAGCTCTAAGAGGGAGTTGGCTGTTACAACGCATAACTCTTTCGGTGGAATGGGAACCCTGTGGATTGATGGGGACCAGAATGCTGCGAGAATAATAAAAGAGCAAACCGGTCAAAGGAGGACTCAAGTTGATGTTCTGACACGGAAGTTGACACCGGGTGTGCACACAGTAACAGTCTACGCATTGCAGCCGGGATTTTGTCTCTCTGCTGTTGCGGTGTTGTAACAAAAGGAAATGTGATTTCAAACCCACATTTTTTGTATAAAACTGGTCACTCTACATACAGAAATTTAGTTTACTTTGTCTGTCTCGAATCATCCAAACTGGTTATTTCGGGAGCGAGCCAATAATTATTCCTGATTACTCCGATGCCGCATACAGGGCTCTTTTGGGGGAAAGAGCGATTGAGACAAGAATCAAAGCCTTAGGAAGCTGATAAAACCAGGATCCAACAACTTTTTTCCTTTATCATGCCGAATGAGCTAGAGGATTTCGGGTACAGGTAAAACGAGTAACGGTTTATTTAGTGAATGGAAGGCCAGATCGTACGCGTTCAGAATAGCACGCGGTGCACACCGGCACAAGCGTGGTTCGGAACAACTCCAACTTGAACAACGCAGCTTGATGTTTCAGTTTTACGTACAATTTCATCAAAATAGCCGCCATGTTATTTGATAGTCAGATAACCTGCCATGAGCCGCCTCTTACGGCAAATTATGATACGTGCCATGAATATACATGTGAGTTATCGGGGTTAATAATGAAAATCTTCGGTACAGGATACACGCCTGTCGTCACGACAAAAAAGAGCAATAAAGACGCATTTTACTGAGATTGATCGACGTTTGTTGTCTTTGTTTCTCACCCTTTTTTAATAAGGAAGTATTTGATAATTCTCAGAAGCTGTCATTGTCAAATTCAGTCATAATTTTGCCCAGTTGTTACTGACTATTTGCTTATGAGATTTGTTTACGTTGCACTTGACATCGGCAAATTATTGTGCCTTCGTTCACTGAACTTCTTAGCTACCGGTAATATTGTCCTTTCAAGAGTTAGAAATCCTTCTTTTTTCCACATGAACATGCTATTTTGTATAGTCAAATTATTCCTTTCGTAGTTTCCAATTTTGCCTCTCTACTCCCCAATTTCTAAACAGACAAAGATACAAACTGTCTTTCTGTCTGTGAAAAGTGAATTATAAAGTACAATTGTCTGCAAATGTCACTGACATGTGGTAGAAATCCTTCCATTTCTACAAAGACATGCTATTTTGCAGCCAAATTCATTCGCTTTTAGTTTCCAATTTTGTCTCTGTGGTTCCCTCAGTTTCTAAAAACCACACGAAACGAAAACTGTCTCTGTCTGTGAAAAGTGAATATTATAAAGTACAATTGTCCGCAAATGCCACTGACACCTGTTTGAAGTCCCACGTTTCAGTGGTATAAACAACGTAAACTCGCGAACTTCTCCATAAAATTTACCGGAGGATCAGAACATTGCGGTGCGAAATTAACGAGACATCCGTACCAGTCTTGTAGGTAAACTGCTACAGCAGTAAAATTCTGAGAGAAATTTACATGGTTTACAAGCAATTACTCCAGGGCCGGTATACCACTATTAAGGATCCTACAGACCCGTCTGAGGTAATGCATATTTTAATAAGTTCGATAGTTATATGGCTGTCTTTCATGATCAG